AAATTCAAATTTCACTTTATTAAAATAAATCAATCAATACTACTTATCAATCATCCATATTATTATTATTTATTAGATTTTGCTATCATTAAAATTCAAAATGCATTAAGGTTTAAAAATTAAAAAATGACTAAAATTTTATTAATGTTTAAATAACTCTTCTATTTATTAATTAATTTTAATCTTTTCTTTTTTAAATTTAATTTCAAATTTTGATCTTCTTTAGAGGTTTCAATATTTTCTTTTTTTAATTAAAATTGTGATTATCTATGTATTTTTCATTATTACTCAAGAACTGAAAATTGTTGTACCTATGATTTTGATGATTACAAAACACATTTGAGTGATTAATTGGTTTATTTAAGTATATAGTTAAGTTGCTAAAAGATTGTAAGTAAACTTGGATTACACTTAAAAATAGACCAGAAAGGCTTGAGAATGTGCAGAGAGCCGGCTCTTGAAAGCTGCAGTCGGCTCTGGTGAAATGGAAGTGCAAAGAGCCGGCTTTGGAAGCTGCAGCCGGCTTTGGAAGCTGCAGCCGGCTCTACGAGTAAAGATTTAAAGGTCCGTTGTTTGGCACGCACGGAGAAAAGACGCGAAACCGGCTCCAACTTTGCAGCCGGCTATGATGGTGCATTTAATTCACAACGGTCGAGTTATTTGAAGATTATTTAATGTATTTAAAGTTGGAATCCCAAAGGCGGCTTTAGGCTTTGCAGCCGGCTGTGGAAGAAAACAGAATGTGCAGAAACCCGCAGAGCCGGCTGTATAGAGCCGGCTCTATAAGTGTAAACCGGCTCTACTGACAATTCTACAACTCGAATTAAGCGACCTACAGAGCATTAAATGACCCCCAACGGCTAGTAACAGTTATTTTCGACCATAGGGTTATAAATATGGTTGGTAGAAGATCTGGAGCAAGTTTAAAAAGCATTGTATTGAATATCTTTACTTACCTACATGAGCTTTAACTTGAGTTTTTAATCTTTAAGAGATCTTTACTTATAATCCTCTTCTTGTTCTATTTGTGAGTGATCTTGGGGGTGTGATTAATCCTTCAAGAGTGATTTGTAAAGAGGATTCGTGAGGTTTAAGTGTAAATGGGTCAGATTTGAGAGAAACACCCTTCTTCTTGTAAAAGGATTGAGTAGCTCCTTTAAGCCACTTTTATTTTCTTAGTGGAGAGTGTGGAGGAAATCCTTGGTGAGTGAAGTCAAGGTAGAGAATTAGGTTCCAAGTGGTTGGACCGAACTTCTATAAAATTATTGAGCAAGATCTTCTTCTCTACTCTCTTTAATTTTGGTTTTGTGGTTGCAAAAGGAGAGAATTTTTGGAACTCCAATTCACCCCCCCTCTTGGAATACATTGAGTCAACAAAAACTAAATGAATTTCAATTAAATTATTACTTTATCTACAATATAAAGAAAATTGAATAATTCTACAGAAATCTAATTTGAATCTTATATAACAAAAATTCTTTTAAATTAAGTCATTTATTTGAGATTCAAACTTCATCTTATTAATAAAATTTTTAATTTAAATTCATAATTAATTTCATTATATTATTATTTTAAATTTTAAATTAATAGATTAATGAAACTTATACCAAATAATAAAACTCATCATTTTTACCAAAAAA